TCGTTCGACGGTTCCTTTAGAGTTGATGGCCACGCTGAACTTGATGGGCCTCCACTTCCTTTTCAGGTTTCCTTACCTGTACTCTTAGGAATTGGTAACCTAGGCCGGCGTGTGGCACCGCTTTCAGTTCAGTACACCCTATCCTAAGTGTGTGTGATTGTCATTGAAGTTGAAGGTGGAAATGGCGAACAGGTGTAATTGCCTTCGAAAATCAACATGTGTAACGGCGGGGCAAAGTAATTGCCGGCAGAAATCAACATGGAAGCCACCGAAGTGCGTGACTGGCCGACTCTGACATCAGAACCGGCAATTCTGCAGCGTGCTGGTAATAGCGCACACGCAGCGCAGGAATGGGTTTCTGGAAGCTTGGGCTAAGCTGACAACTTTGTAGCATGGGAAGTTGCTTCTGGCAACTTTGTGGCGCGATGTAGTCCAGGAGCCGCTTGCGGGAGCTGTGGCCTTGGAGCGAGCAACTTTGGACAATTTTGTTGCGCACCTGCATTGTGGGAAGCGCCTTCTTGCAGTTCTGGGCTGGATGTAATGCGCAGCACACGGTGTGGCGAGATTATGTTTGAAAGTAGGAGGAATTGGATTGGCTTCACTGGCAGGTCCATGAATGGCTTTTTCATTGCCGTGCAGCCTACCGAATGGGAAGGGTGCAACTGCGAAACCAACCACTGGACATCCCACAAACGCGCCCTACAAGAATGCCCAGTCCTTTGAGAGCGCCCCGGCAAGACTAAGAGCATCTAAGATCATCACGCGCGCTCATCGTCGTTACCTCGTGTCATCTCCAGGTTGCGGCTCTGCGCGTTGCAACTGCGCCGGGGCAGTTGCACACAAAGCGATTCGCCAGTGGCCGATGTTGCAACCACAGGTTCGTCAGGCGTCAACAGATTTGGAAACGCTTCGTAGGAATTGACTGCTTCGCTAAGACCACGCCGCGCCTGGCCTTATAGACTCTAGACCAACTGATGCAACCGAAGCTTCTCACACTGGGAATGAGGTTGTCTCAAGGTGCTAGAGGCCTCAACCCCAAAGCGCGAGACTCACGTGTGAAAGGGGCTCATGGCTTAACTTAGCCGCGTGCCCCACTTAACTCATATTCCTTTGCAAAGATGTGTCACTATGACCAAGACCAACCAAGGCCAAGTAGATTGCTATTTCTAGAATCTCCACCTGAGGTCTTGACAAAGCACCCCAGGAGCTCTGAAGACTTCAATTCACATCCTGCAAGTAGAACACGTGATGTGTCTATGAACAACCATGGATTCCAAAGCGAACACACCACCTATATAGTGATCCGTGAACTTTGGTTGGTGCAGGAATGCCTGTGCCCACACACCACAGGTTAGGCAATCCTTTCTGATACTCATGAGCTGCGTGCATTCTGGTCGTGATTGAGCACTTCTTGGATCTCTAATGGACAATAGAAGCAAAACAGGTCCCAAAGCTTTCTTCTCTTCACAGGCAAACGGAATCTCTACGGCTTAATGGAAGTTCTTGACGCTGAAGAAGCTGTAGGCCCTTGAAGTCTTCATTTTCAAGGTCCTGCAAAATCTCGCTTGTCCCTGAAACAAGTACAAGCAACAGCATCACAACCGCAAGGATCTGAGCTGCCTCCGCAATTGTATTCTAGCAAAATAGGATGCAGCTTACTCAGATGACCAAGCCTTTCGGTTGGGGCCTCCAAAAAAATCACTTGGCACATCCTGGGGGCTGGCTCTTCAGGAATGACTTTGCTAGCTGACGCTAGCTTTTGCTGGCGCTTTGATTCCATCCAATACCATTCAATATTGGGTCGGCCGCGGCAACCCTCTGATTATATTCCTACTACACGGTCGCTTTCACGATTGCATTTTTGATCGGAGCAAAAGATACTTCCATTATGACGTAGAACAGCAGTTGTTGACGTTTCGAATCGGTATTTCATGTCCATGTCTTGCAACAACATTGCTTTGGAAAGTTTGCACTGGATATGCGCCAAGCAGTCGTGACAGCCCAACCGTGCCAGCAGGAGAAGAAAAAGAATCATTGACGCAAGTAGAGCTAAGCTGCCGGTTGAATGAAAAGCTCAGCTTACTTGGGCGCGCGGCGCAAAAGTATGAGTGAGCCACACGTCAAATCCGCGAACAGAAACATTTCTTTTTATGCCGGAAAATGCTGCGAACGGCCCCTTCGCTTGGTTGTCACTTCCTTCAGATTGACAATAACTCAAGGCATCTAGCATCCAAATTCTAATTTGATGAGGTTGGCAGCGCGAGTGCTATGCATTTAATGACCCTAACTCATTCCGCATCAGGTCTCTTGAAAACGCCGTTTTGCAAACTGCTGGTTCAGAGGATGGACATGGCCTTTAGAATATTCAAAGGAAGTTTAGTGTACGAAACTTCCGTGTTACGGACATTCAAGAACTGGTCATACACCACTCTTCAATACACTCATCATACACCACTCATCATACACCACT